TGCATGTGAATACACACTCCTGCGTGTAAATACACACTCCTGCCTGTGAATACACACTCCTGCCTGTGAATACACACTCCTGCTTGTGAATACACCCTCCCTGGTGTGACAATGTCAGTCTTGGGTAAGTATCGGTCATGTGTTCGAGTGTTTCTTTGACTGGTTTGTTTGTTTAAGATTTTTTGGCCAAAATGTGACAAAACTTATAACAGTTATATTCTAGTACAGTGATTAAACCTTAACAGCTTTTGGAATTATAATGGTTGGTATTGGACTTTAAAGATAAAAAACTGTGAGCTAAGAGTGAACAGAGACTAAAATTTTCATAGAGGGGAAGGTAAAGCCTTAATCCATTCTTGCTAATTAGTATGACAAAATCCTTGGTTAGATTAAGCTACATGTTAGTTTGATTTTCTTTTTAAAAAAAATTTTAAACGACAGATACAAAAAACACTGATGGCACATTTTTATCAGGGCTGCATGGTTTTGGATGGTTTGGCAACAGTCACCTAAAAATTCACCGAGTATGGTCAATGCAACAATCCAAAAAACTACATGATAAAACAGCAGTTTGCGTTCTAGATAAATATTGCAACACACACTTTTGCTCAAGTCTAATATGAAAGTGTTGTGTACAATAACTGCGTCTGATCTGAAAGGTAGAAGTAGGTTTTAGGCTACATAGAGTTACTTGTTTGCTTGGAGTTAAATGAACAAAGAATTTCACTTTTAGATGGATGAAGTGTGTTCACTACCTTCACTGTTAATGCATAAAAACATTATATATTTTTGTATAAAGGAAGAGCTATGCTTTTGTACAACAAAATACTTCCAGTACAATCAGCGGGGATAAATGCCAACCCATTTGTTCAGTGGGCTCTGAAGACAGCGTAGGAGCATCATCAGAATGAAGGTCATCATCAACCAGAGACACTGACCCTACAGAGACAGTAGTCATGGCTCTGAACCTCAGTTTGCATCTATTTGTGTTTCTGGTTGAGAAGTTATAAGGCAGACACACATCTACAGTCACTCCTGTCATCAGGTGTTTAGTCTTGCATGGCTACACGTCACCTCTGAATTCTCTATAGAAACAGTCGTACCTTTACTACACTTTTCATACCAGCTGCAATCAGCGCTGACAGGCTGGACATAAATATCTGATCTGTTGGTTTCCAGGGGTTTATATACACACCAGGTAAACTTTACAGGGTAATGTGAGGGTGTTCTCCTCCATCGACCACAGCCAGCCTCAGTCCATGTGCCTGTTAGCACCTTTATCTGAAGTAGCTGAGCCCTGCCACCAAGAAGAACTTCTCCAGGAAGAGCTCCGAGTCCAGGACAGCGATGTGGGCTGCGCGGCCAATCAGCGTGTTGGCCGTGTTGGGCAGAGCATGGAACACGTTCTGTCGGATCAGCCGACACTCTTTAGCCTCCACAACTGGTTGCAGGAGGTTGTTGATCATTTCTGTATACACAGGCCCTTCAGATGAAATGAAAACAGTTAAGATGAGTGCTGCTACATAAAAAAAAAATACTTCACCAGGTGTACTCAGACAAACCTACTTATTTGCACAAGCTTGTATTTAATTTTGCTGGAACACAGACAAAGCACTGTCTTGTTCATGCAATGGGCGTCCAGTCTTTGTGGTGCTAATTTCATCATGGTTTTTGTTTGGTCTGCCCAGATCCTCAGAGGATGTTTATGTGTAGCCCAGACTCTTGTGACTTGGTTGTCTGTGCTACCTCTTCCATCCAAATGGTAAGATTTAACACACAGTACACAGCAGGTAAAATGATCATAAGCAGAAGAAAAAAAAACATCACAAACTCTTGTTTTGAAGAAATACTGCATGAGGAGTCAAGCTTTTATGAACATTTGGATAATTTATTACTCAAAGACTCCAAAACTGTCTTATTCCTGGTGAGAAAACACCAACATTGTTTCTTCTTCTTGTCTTTTGAACAGAGAGTTAACAAATCAGCTTATCATCGAGATGTATGGCTGTAGTGAAAACTGCACACCCTGAGTGGAAAGCAGCAGTGCAGGTAGCCTACACAAACACAGAAGTGCATGAGCAACTGTTTCCACCTTAATACACAGCTCTGGTCTTCAAGAAATATATAATTGTTTATTTTTGTATCTGCAATGCACATCTGGAGCACCTGTGGGCAGTATGGTCTCTACAGTCTTCTAACAAAGAAGAAGAACAGAACAATTGTTATTCCATCCATCCATCCATTATCTTTACCCGCTTATTCCATTTTGGGTCACGGAGGTCGCCGGTGCCCATGCCCGGCAATCATTGTGCGAGAGGCGGGGTACACCCTGGACAGGTCGCAAGTCCATCACAGGGTCACAGTTGTTATTTAGTTATCTTATTTAACTTGACGGTTTACTAAAACACGTGGACTTTCAAACCCACTTGTGTCTTTTTCTGATCACCCTTTAGACATTTTTTGTAAAAAAAAAAAGTTACTGTATTTCACTGTTTGCAGGGGTCATATGATAAAAATGTTTGATTTGTTTGAAATTGACTGTTTTGAAGGTCATTATTTTAATTTGAAGTTTATATAACATTATTGCAAACTTCAGGGTGATAGTCACAATTTGACTAATCAACTAACTGAACAAAATTTGACTGACTACCAAAATAATCATTAGTGGCAGCTCTGCGTGTGACTCCCATGGCAGGTTTTGTGCTACAAGCTGAGAGGTTCAAACTCTGGATTAGGGCCCAGATGGTGATCCTGCTTTGCTCTTCATGACAGATTAGAACGGAGCTGGACCACAATGTGAAAAACCTGAGCACTGTTTTAAGTGTCTATCAGGATTTTCTTGCTGATTTTTTAATAAGGTATCGCTGACTGCTGTCTGCTGCAGGTAAGATACTAATTACTTATATGAACACCACACAGCTCCACATTAAAAGAAACTAAAATTTATGTTTAAAGCCTTGCTTCCTGTTTATTATTTGCAAGGAGAAGATATTTTTATAAGCAGCTGGGTGCAGCTAAGAAGCTGCAGAGGGACTGGGGTAGACATTCACACATTATACACATAAATACTAGAACCCAAATCATTATGGAGATAATTTATACTATAACATAAACCTGCACACATCTCACCTGTGGTTCTGTCTCGCAAAGCTGTCCTGCACATCTCTATTCGGGCAGAGTGGAAGGGAACATATCTATCCTGAGGAGATGCAACCAGCACCACATTCTTGAAGAACTGCAGCCCTAAAAGGAACACCAAAACCACCCAATGAAACACTACTGCAAGGGTTTGGTAGAAAAAGATAGAGACAGCAGGACAAAGGAAAGAAGCAAATCAGTTGTAAAACGTAAACTACAATCACAGAACAATGGCAGGGTTGATGCAATAACACTGTGTGAGTTCTTTCCCTTTAGTCTCCTGTCAGTGTGCTTTTAAGAGAGTTCACTGTTGAGTTTCCAATGACAGGGTTTGGATCATTTTGTCATCCTGCTGCAGCTCAAATAAAACGTTTTCAGGCTTATCTTCTTCATGCTTATGTGACAAACGGCTGCTTTGTTCCACTCACACAGTAGGGCGGCCGCTCACAGCTCGCTGTGTGTTTGTGTGCTACTGAGCTGACACCCGAGGAAATTTGACAACCAAAAAGACGAGATGACAACTTTTTCATGAATATTTGAACAGAGTATCTTTCAAGTTGTAGTCTGTAAAGTGAGGCCGTCGATGCGCTGTCTTTGTTCACACTGCGCTTGTCACATACCTGGTTTCTGACTCAGGAGATACAGGAATGTCTTCCTGGGATCAACGTGATCTCTGAAGGTGAGCTGCAGCAAGGAGCCTGATTTCTTCAGTTTCTGCATTAACCACAGACCTGAGGAAAACACACACACACACACACACACATTGACCCTTGGTAGATGAAAGCTGCACACATAACCTAAAACAGTAGAGCTCCACAGCAGCATACAGTTTCTGCAGCATGTCCAGCTCAGAGCTGAGTGGAGGGCTCACCTGTGCTGACCAGCGTGCTGCTGTTATACAGCGTTCCCAGGTGTGGGCCCGACAGAGAGAGGAAGGTGTGCAGCTTCGGCAAATAGCAGCGGAAACGAGGCCTCGTCAGCACAGAGCGGATGATGACGTTCCCCAGAGAGTGGCCGATGAAGCTGTAAGATGAAGACAAACAACTGTCAGGGAGAGAAACTGGCAGCTGGAGTGAGCAAAGGGAAAAGAATGATCGTCCGATGCTGCTGACTCCAACAGCTGCTCAGCACAGACTCGTTTTCAAAGCAGCACCTCATTGGGAAGTGACTGCTGGAGACTTGGTGAAGAGCCCTCACAGAGGTTCTCCATTTTCATGCACGTCACAAAGGCTTGAAGCTTGTCATTTGAAATTTAAGCATGGAAAAAAAAATGCTGCAAATTTCCTCTCAAAATAGTCACGTAGTTGTTGCAGACATCTCTAATGTGTTTCAAGAGTGTTAGAGATGTATTTTGACACCTGCACAGATGCTCATCCATCCATCCATTATCTTTTACCCGCTTCTTCCTTTTTGGGTTGCGGGAGTCACTGGTGCCCATGTCCAGCCATCACTGTGTGAGAGACGGAGGACACCTGGACAGGTCTCCAATACACAGTTGCAAGCCATGCTTTTTAAAATGTGGCCATGTGGCTCACTGGTCACTTGGTTGCGAACTTTGCAGATCTACTTGCAGTATTGATAATGTGTGCAACAATATTTCATACAACAGATTAGCTGATGAGTTAAACAATCTTGTGAGTCATGAACTGTCAAGTTGCAATCAGCCCCATGTCCCCACCGCTTCAAGTCCTTTGGGTGACAGCAGTTTAAACAAGCGCAGTGGCGGATTCACCGTCGGGCACGACGGGACACTTCCCGGTGGCCTGGTTGCCGAGGAACGGGACTAAAGGCTCGGTTCGGGTCGCACGGACTTTATTATTTTAAATAAACAATTCACTTTTGCCTGGGCTCAGGTCTCACGCTGCACTGCAGCGACGGAGAAAGCCTGGCACATCCCCCGGCCGGGCCGGCCCCCTCCCTTCCTTTTCTGTGTGTCACAGAGCAGAGACACACACACACACATTGCGCCCGCCCCCCTCCCCGCCCTAGGACTCGCGCTCCCGACGGTGTTGGCGCACGGTGCGTGCATCTCTGAGTTGTAGAATGGAGCAACAGAGACAGCCAAAGAAGAGGAAAGGTGGAGCAGAGAGAGAGAGGATAAAAAAGAGAAAAGCTCTGGCCGCGGATGCTGCTAAGTGCTATAAATTAATGTTTGTTCGTAATGGAGCAGGTAAGAGAAACACTTGTGTTGAAAAAATTGAACTCTGGCACAGTTTATCAGCACAGCTTAATATCCACATGCTAGCTTCACTTTGAGGGACCTAAGTGGGCCAAAACTGACTTAATATAACAAATGTTTTTAAGTTTTTACAAAGAATATTGCAAATTTTATAATATGGGTTAGGATCTGAAAAAAGTTTAATGTTGAAATGTCTAGGAATTCAGATTTTTTTGTATCTAAAAAAGTTAAGTCAGGTCCTCTGGACAAATAAAAAAAAAACTTGTTGAAACTTTTGTCTTTAATCCAAAAAACTAAGTTCAGTCTGAGGAGTTGCAACAAGCTCAGTTTCAAATAGCCTCTTCTCATAGTGGATCAACCAGTTTGTTGTTAACATCCAGAACTAGCTGTCTTGGTGGTTTGCGTTAATCAGGTGGTGGTGGCCTGGGATGGTATCAAAATTCCCGGCCTGGATTATTGTCCCAGTCCGCCCCTGAACAAGCGGTATGCCAGTGTCCCCAGGCTTGAAGGGATTTGAATGGTAAATGTTTGTAGGTTTTGAGAGGAGTATTTTTCTAGACTGAAATTGAACAGGGAATGAAGTAAACCTAAATGTTTTTGGTGCAATATAATCAAGTGGGGAGGAGTTACACTGTGGAGAAGAACAGAGTGAGTTTTATTTATTTAATTTTTTGCTTATCTGTGGCAGCAGAGAGTGTTATATGTTATACAGTATATATATATATATATATATATATATATACAAAGTATATATCCATCCATCCATTATCTTTACCCACTTATTCCATTTTGGGTCACGGGGGTCGCTGGTGCCCATGTCCAGCAATCACTGTGCGAGGGGCGGGGTACACCCTGGACAGGTCGCAAGTCCATCACAGGGACACATAGAGACAAACGAGACAAACAACCATTCACTCTCTCACTCACACCTAGGGACAATTTAGAGTTATCAATCAGCCTAACATGCATGTTTTTGGTCTGTGGGAGGAAACTGGAGCACCTGGAGAAAACCCACGCATGCACAGAGAGAACATGCAAACTCCACCCAGAAAGGCCCCTGGACCGGGGTTTGAACCAGGGACCTGTTTGCTGAGAGGCAGCAGCTCTACCAGTTGCGCCACCGTGCTGCCCAAAG